ACATCATTGACATTTTTTTTTTATAGAAAAACCATGGTGATGGAAGAAAGGTCTTGCAAGTAGCAAGTATAGCCGGAGAAGACTCTCGGAACTGGTATGTTGTTAACTCAGAACTGGAATTTCTTTGCATAGATTTCCAGATAGTGCCTTTAGGGATATTCACATTTTACTATTGGATTTTAGGAGTGACGAAGCATAGATGATTGAACATATCTCCAGTGATGTGTCCAATAATCTGTTGATTTTCGTGACTATGTCGGGATGGTTGGTTGGGATTGTGGGTCTTTCAGGGATTGATAAGAGTACCATAGCAAGAGCTCTTCAATAGTCTCTCTAGCCAATTCCACTATCGCGCTTTCCTAACTTATAAAAGAACCATCCAGGACGACATGGCATGAAACTGGCTTGGGAACAACAACTGGTGTCAGAGATTCTCTGTCAAAAGGACATAAAGATATGCCATTCAAGTGTGGTCGGACAAAGTCTAAAAGACAAGGAAGTTCTTATCGTTGTTGATGATGTGGATGATCCCGAACTACTAAAGACCTTGGTTGGGCAAACTAGATTGGTTGGATCTGGAAGCAGAATCAAGATAAGAAACTTCTCAAGCCTAATATTGACCTTATTTATGAGGTGGACTTCCCATCGAAATATTTGGCTCTTCAGATGCTCTGTCGGGGAAAACTCTCCACCAAATGGTTTCACGAAACTCGCAGTTGAAGTTGCGGAGCTTTCGGGTAATCTTCCTTTGGGTCTCAATGCCCTGGGTTCGTATTTGGTACAAGGAGTACTGGATGGAGATGCTGCCTAGGCTTCAAGATGGTTTGGATAGTAAAATAGAGAAAGCATTAGGAATTAGTTATGATGGGTTACATCGCAAAGATGAAGAATTATTCCTCTACATTAAATAGAGAAAGCATTAAGAATTATTCGCCAAGAATTCAGTGGCGAGGGAGTCAATTATATCAATGTCTTGCTCAAAAAGAGTGTTAACAATTGGGCTTAGGATATTGGCTGATAAATCCCTCATACGTATATCACCATCAAACAATACTGTACGAATGCACAGCTTGTTACAGAAGTGGTGAGGTCAGATTGAATTTAGCTCAAGGCAGTCTTACCTGGTAAAGAAATGCTTACGTATTTCATGCATCGAATCGAACTTGTGGAAGTTCCTTAGATGTCCCTTTGCCTCAAAGCTCTCTTTCTGAAAGCATCTCCCTAAGCATTTGTAAATTGAGACATGTTGTGGAGGTAGACTTTCCAAGCTGTGGAGAAAGTGATGGAGAGTGGGAAATGCCCTGAGAGTGAAAACTACTAAACAATGAGAGGAAACCAGAAAGAAGGAACAATTACCGGAAAGAAATGCTCTGAGACTTAATACTACCAAACAATATGGAGAAAGTTACAACCATCATGGATTTTCAGCCGTCTCAGGTAACTCAACATCTCACAACTCTATTCTATTCTTCTATAATCAATTATTCTTGGAAATTCAGACTTTTAGTTCAACTTCATTTGGAAACTAGAGATGAAATTGAAATTTGACCTGAGAGAGAATGCAGATGAGGGATTGGACATGGTTACGAGCGATGGAATCACCGATAAAAGCCCACCATTTGTTCCACATTTTGTCAAGAATGAGGTATCTTCCTATCCCGGATGGAGGTATCGTTTAGGTAATTATAGTCAAATTTTAAGATAGATTTGATACAATATATTTTGTGGATTAAAATGTCAAATTAGGTGTGAAATGGGATAGATTTGATACAATATATTTTGTGACCTGTGGCTATGGCCCATGATTGCTCAGTAAAAATCTTATAGATTTGACTTTTGAGTATTGAGTGTGAAATGGGAAAATCACTTGTAGGAAATTTCCTGCAAGTCTCCTTTTGCTCTCATATCTCTGCTATATAACTCTGTTATTTCCTGCAAGTCTCCTTCCATACGAATTTTAACATCTCTATCCTTTTTCCATGGCTTCTGCTTCTTCTCACACCCTGAAATACGATGTTTTCCCAAGCTTTAGCGGTGAGGATGTCCGTAAATCGTTTCTCAGCCACTTTCTCGAGAAGCTTCAGCGCAAATCAATCATTACATTTATAGACCACGGCATCGAGAGAAGCCGTCCGATTGCACCTGAGCTTTTATCAGCGATTAGAGAATCAAGGATCTCAATCGTCGTCTTCTCTAAGAAGTATGCTTCTTCTACCTGGTGTTTGAATGAATTGGTGCAAATACACAAGTGCTATGAGGAATTGGGTCAGATGGTGATTCCGGTTTTCTATGACGTTGATCCTTCTGATGTTAGAAAACAGACCGGAGAGTTTGGAAAGGCCTTTGAAACCACATGCAAGGGCAAAAAAGAAGATGATAAAAAACGATGGAAGATAGCTCTTGCAGAGGTAGCAGGTATAGCTGGATAAGATTCTCGGAACTGGTATGTTTCCTTTTTTAAAATTTGTTTCGAGATATCTCCGAATCCGGATTTCTTTGCATAGATTTCAAGATTGTGCTTATTAGGAATTTGACTGTGCTTATTGGGATTTTAGGAGCGACGAAGCAAAGATGATTGAACAAATCTCCAATGATGTGTCCAATAAACTTTTTACACCATCCGATGATTTTTGTGACTATGTCGGTATTCAAGCTCATGTCGATAAACTTACAGTTTTGGACATGAGCGGATGCACAAGTCTCGAGGTTCTTCCAACCAATATTAACTTGGTATATATCTCTCACTTTTCTCTGTCTCAATGGATGCTAAAGGTTGAGAACTTTTCCTCAGCTTTCAACAAGCATTGGATATCTCGATCTGAGCGACACTGCTGAAGAAGTTCCTTCTTGGATTAAGAATATCGTTTGGCTCATTGAACTGCGGATGAGAGGATGCGAGAAGTTAAAAGCCATCTCGGCAAATATTTGGAACTTGGAACATATTGACTATGTTGATTTTACTGACTGTGGAGGAGTGACGTCAATCAGTGATGCAAGTCTGGTGAAAACAGTAGCAGAATTACATGAGGAAATGTATCTCTTCTGTTCCGATTCGTATACTAAGTTCCTATTCCATAATTGCTTCAATTTCGATCAAGACGCGCAGAAATTCATGCTACAATCATATTCCCGTTTTACGGTCTTACCTGGTAAAGAAGTGCCTACGTATTTCAGGCATCAAACTTGTGGTAGTTCCCTAATTATCCCTTTACCTCAAAGCTCTCTTTCTCAAAAAGATTTGGAATTTACGATTTGCATCATTCCTGAACCTGCTACTTACTTCCAACATTCTGATTCAAAGATCATTGTCCACTGGAAATTCAGAGGTGTAAAGGGTGTGCATAAAGTTAAGCTTGACATGGACGCAGCTAAGATGGATCATCTGGTCATGTTTCACTTTGATATCTGCCTTGGAGAAGAACGCCTTGATCCTCCATCTCAATTGGACTGCAACAATATGGAATTTGAGTTCGCATTCCATTACACTACCGGTCTTGGCAACATACTAACTTTTTCTTTATTGCCCATAATAGGATGCGGTGTCTGAGTCTTGAATGTCACTCCACCTCTGGATGGTAACGATAGAAGCTCTAAAACTGAGTACACCGATCAATCTGGAGAAAATGATGCAGAGACTGAGAGACGCAAGAAGCAAATGCGCGTAAGCTTTGGCATAAATCCAACAGACACATGTACATGCTATCTCTGGATTCTCGTTTTCAGGATCAAAATGAAAACATTATTTATTATAATAGATTCATTTGTTGGGTCTATTATGATGCAGATGGCAGTTGTAACATCTCAAGAAGATTCCAACTCCCTTTGCGGCCAAACTGCAGTGAACTCAGGATTGATGGCTCCGAAATTCGGAGCTTTTTTCTTTTCTTTCAGATGCCAAGAACTTTTTGTGTGTGTTTATATCAATCTGAAAAATCTAAGTACAATAAAGTGTTCATACACAAGCTAAAACAACATCACTTTTGTCACTTCTCAAAGATCAATCAAAGTTACTATGGACTATCGTGTGAATCAAACAGAAGGTTTGTCAATGGTTGCAACATCCCGAGTTTCTCCATTCATCGGTTTTATTTCCTCTATGGTTTCAACTCTTTCACTTGCTGCTCTCTCCTTTGTAACTACTACAGTTCTGAGGAAAGGCACAAAATCATCGGATTACAGTGTGAAACTGTTATGACAGTAAAAACTCGTTTGCACGGTTCTCAGCCTTGAGAAACTGCAGTTTGGTTGCGGATGTCCTGTTTTCACCATGGAATCCAAGAACGTCTACAGTACAGTGTTGTTTCTTCTTCGTGTCTGCTTCCTTTGAGAATTCGTCTTTTCCACTGAAACACTTAATCTGCTATTGTCATCACCCCCTTCAGTAGAAAGTAAATGCACAAACATGTGAAAATATGATCCAACTTGAAGAACCAAGATGGAGAAGGAAACGGGAAGAAGTACAAAGAAGAGAAGCATATTTGGCTTAAAGTGTATTGAAGACACTAAAGGAACCAAAAGGTTTGATTAAAGATCAAGAAGTAGAGACTCTACATATATCAGAAGGTTTCAAAGGTCTACTCGGCTCAACGTTAGTCAAGTTAAGGTTTCACCGACTGTTTTTTCGATATAAAAACAGAGGCTTGCTTCTTTGTTAATCTAAGCCGCTTTCGAGCGCTTCATGGCATCAGAGTAAGCTAGATAGAAAGGTGTTGTCTCTAGTTCTAGGCTTAGCTCGTAGCCATCTTCTTCCCTTGATATCTTCTTGTACTCTCTYGGATTGTTTAACCGGAGATAGAGAGAGTCTATGATCTTCTTACTGTAAACCACATCGGAGGTGTTTTCCGATCTTCA